GTCTTTAGAGAGGACATCATGCTGGGTAGAGTGGAGGGACAGCGCAGGAGGGGAAGACCCTCTATGAGGTGGATGGATTCAGTGACTGGGGTAATCGGGATGGGTGTGTCAGAGGCAATGCCATTGGCATAGGATAGAGCAGGGTTTAGGGCTGTTGTACATAGGGTCACTATGAGCCGCAAACGACTCGATGGCACATAACAGCAACAACAACAGTAAAACATGTATGGGAATTCAAGAGGGGGAGAGCTGAGGATGGGTAGGGATGAAAACAGAGAGTTACACAGTTGGGTGGGTGGAGGGAGGTGGAGAAATAAACGGGAAGGATCTGGGCAAAAAGGTTAATAATGAGCAAGGTCCAAATTTTCTAAAACAGTGCATGAAAATGATTGCATGAAACACAATATGGATGGAGAATACTGTGAAACACACTAAATACAAACCAATTTGCAAACAAATTTGTAAACAAACCAATTTAAGAAAATTTAGTCTAAGACCAGGAGAAGATAAAATAGATGAGTGGGACCTTCTAAGAATCAAATCCCAATGTACATCTGTAAACTTCTCCAACAGGCTAAAGGGAAGCCACAGACTGAAAAAAAGTATTTGTTAATGACATGTCAGATAAGGACTTATATCTAGAATTTATAAAACACTTGAGCACCACAAATTAATATCAATAGCAGAGGAAATATCATGGTAATTAATGAATGTAGCAAATTTATGATGGCTTTCTTAAAACTATTATTGCTTAAAAAATAATATAGATACTTTAGCTTCTTTCAAAATAATAGAAATAAAAATTATCAATAATATGATATGCATTATTTCATTTAATCTTTAAAATAATTCTGTGTGCTAGTCATTGTTATCCCTTATAGATGTTTAGCAAAAATCATCCTATCATTGTAAGCCTTCACATAAACTGAAATCCTTGTTTTTATCTCAAATTTTTATTTAAGAAAAACAATACATTTTTCCCCTAAGAATTTACCCTTATATATTTTATTTTTAACCAGATATCCAGGATATTTCGACGCTCTGGAGAAGGACGGTTTATCAAATCCCATGTGACCAAGCTAAGGTATGTAAAGTTGGTTTTCAATTTCAAATCAATGCCCTTAGCATGAAGTTCTTGGCAAACACAACTGCTATATTCCTTTCATGACCTTAAGAAAATGGATTAGCACACCTGGGGTGGTGGGGGAGAAGAAGAAGAAGAAGAAAGTGGAAAAACCCCAAACAAACAAGCAAACCACAAAACAAAGCAAAGCAAAAATCAAATCCACTATCACAGAGTAAATTCCAAATCCCTGATATCACAAATCCTGAGGAACTTACACCGCCTCGCCATTATACCATCTAGTTTACACTACCAAAACTTTTTGCAACCACAGCAAAATCTCTGACAAAAAAAAAAAGAATCTCTATGGATGAGGGGTGGGAGACAACTGGGAGAAGAATGTGCCCTCTGAGAGAAAGAAACAAAAAGTACAGAAGAGGAAGTATGAGGCTAAAATACTCCACTCCCCTTTTATCAAGGGACTAAGTCGAATTTATACCAGTTCTATTTTATTTTCCTCTTTTAAACCTACTTAATTTTCAGAGTATTTTCTTCTCTACGCTGAATTATAAAAGTGGCTTTTATTGTCACTTAATTTTCATGCTGTAATGAAAGTTAACATAAATAAATTGAACAGGGAAGTGTGATACAAAAATACTAGCATCCATGTCTCTTGAGCACGTATCTGGTACTTTATGGTATGATTTTGACTTGCATGATGCTGATATGCGACAAACTATACAACCACTATTTCAAATATTAACAGTGTCATTCATTATGAACAGGTTTCAGTGGCACTTTCAGAGTAGTCAGCTAGGAAGAAGGACTTGATAGGCTGTGTCTAAAAAAGTAAAACAAAATACTGGTCAGTAAAAATCTTCTAAATATCCATACAATATTGTCTAATATAGTCCCAGAAGAGAAGTCCTCCTCATTTAAAGGCAATCAAAATACTCAAGGGGGTATCTGCTTCCTCAAAGCAATTTCAATGGCAAAGGAGTAAAATGTTTAGGACCATCATTTGTTAATATATCATGATTCAAAATGAGACAAAAAGTTAATTATTGAAACATGGAATATATTAATTGCAATCTAAGAAAACAATTAATTGTAAAAACTGAAATGGAGTACATTGGTCATCAGTCACTTGAAATTGAATGATACTGACAGATTTTGATTGGACATATAGTTTACTATGCTAAACAGGACAAACTGAAGAGGAGTGGTATCACAAACATTGTTAAAGAGAACACTTCGAAATCTATTCCGGAGTACAATGATGTCAATGATAAGTTAATATCTATTCATTTACAAAGTTGTTGTTATTGTGGACCGTCGAGTCAGAACAGATCCATAGGTGACCCTCCGGTGGGTTTTCAGAGGCAGGTAATTGCATGGGAAGAGATTGCCCATCCTTCTTCCTTGGAACTGTAAGTAGCCTCAAATCACATGCCTCCAGTATTGCAGCACAGCTTCTTGCCACTAGACTACCAGTGCCGAATTAATAGAAAACTATTACTAAAATATATGGCTGGAAAGAAAAATTTAACAACAGTAGTATTGCATTCATAGTTAAAAAAATATTCAAGATTTTGTGAGCCTTAGGGCAGACACCATACACCTACAAGGAAGGCCCGTTAACACAACTGTTATTCAAGGATATCGACCTAAGTTTGCAGTCCAAAATGGACCAAACATGCACTCAAGATACTGCTGACATTGATGACTGGAATGCAAAAGATGCTAACAATCAGGAAGGAATTGTTGTTGTTGTTATATGCCATCAAGTCGCTTGCAACTCATAGCGATCTTGTGTACAACAGCCCTAAACTCTGCTCTGTCCTGTGCCAATCGCACTGTCTCTGATACTCCCATCCCGATTATCCCAGTCATTGAATCAATCCACCTGATAGAGGGCCTTCCCCTCCTGTGCTGTCCCTCCACCCTATGAAGCATGATGTCCTTCTCCAAGGACCGGTCTCTCCTCACAACATGTCCAAAGTATGTTAGACGGAGCCTCAGAATCCTTGCCTCCAAGGAGCCACCTGGTTTAACCCTTTCTAGGACAAATCTGTTTGTTTTCCTAGCAGTCCATGGTATTCTCAATACTCCAGCACCACAGCTCAAAGGCATCAATTCTCCTTCTATCCTCCTTGGTCATTGTCCAACTCTCTGATGCATAACAAGTGATTGCGATGCCCATGGCCTGTATCAAACGTACCTTAGTCTCCAGGGAGACACCATTGTTCTTCAGTACTTTGGAGAGGTCCCTAACAGCAGACTTTCCCATAGCAATGCACCTTTTAATTTCCTGGCTGCTGGTGCCAAGACTGTTGACTGTGGAGTCAAGCAAACTAAAGCTGTGTACAATCTCAATCTCTTCACCATCCATCCTGATGCTACCAGGAAAGAATAGCAGTTAAAAAGTATGAACTTGCTGACAGATGCAAGACAACTCAACAAGTGATTGAATTTTGCATGTTCAATGAGGTATTTGTAGCAAATGCCTTTTAAAAAACCAAAACTCAAAAGGAGTCTTTACAACTGACATCACCTGATGAACTTCACACGATGACTACATTTGTAAAAAAATTTTTTTTTAAAATAATTAGATAAACTCAGTATCAGCAGTTAGAAGGAGGCTAGGTGCTCACTGTGGAATTATTTATTATCAAAATACATGAAAATCAGTTACTGACATCCAAATTCAAATTGAAGCTGAAGAAATTATTTTAAAGTTCACAAGAACCAAAATACAGCCTTGAGCATATCCCACCTGAATTTAAAAATTATCTCAAGGAGAAGTTTGATGCATTGAATACTAGTGATTGAAGACCATACAGGTTTGGGAATGGTATCAAAGATAGTATCTATGAAGAAAGTAAAGAAGTCATTATAAAGACAGAAGAGGGGGAAAAAGACCAAAATGGATATCAGAAGAAACTCTGAAAATTATACTAGAGTGATAAGCCAAAACAAAGAGTACAAATGTTGAAGAGGAGTAACAGAAGATTTCAAGGACAGCTGGAGAAGACAAAGCAAAAATATTATAAAGGAATATACAAAGACCTAGAGCTGGAGAATAAAAAGGAAAGACTTTTCTCAGCATTCTAAAGTTGAATGAAGTGGAGAAAAAAAAAATCAAGCCATGAGTTCAATACTGAAAAAGGCTATGTGCAAAATCTTGAGTTTTCCAGGAAGCATAAAAAGTAGATGAATAGAACACACTATCACTGTACCAGAAAGAATTGGTTGACATTGAAAAATGTCATGAAGTAACATATGAACAAGAGCCATATGGTAAGAGTCAGTGGTAATTAAGGAAGAAGTCTGAGCTACACTGAAGGCACGGGACAAAAATAAGACATTAGAAATTCGCAGAACACTAATTGAATAGTTTCACCTAAAAGATACAGACCTGGACATTGCTCATCAGTCTATGCTAGGAAATTTGGAGGATATCTGCTTGGCAAACTGACTGGAAAAGATCTGTATTTGTTCCCATTACCAAGAAAATTAACCCAGAAGAATTTGTAAATTATCAAACAATATTATTAAAACCACATGCAAGCAAAATATTACTGAAGATCATCCAAAACAGCTAGAATAGAATAATGATCAAGAACTGCTAGAAGCTCGAGTTGGATTAAGAAGAGAAAGTGGCACAAAAGAAATCATTGCTGATGTCTGATCCTGGATGAAAGCAAAGAATACCAGAAGAATATTTGTGTTTTGTTGAGAATACAATAGTCTTGCATTGTGTGGATTATAAAAATAAAACAAAACATACACACACACACACACACACACACACACACACACATACACAAACACACACACAAATAATCCAACAAATCAAAAGAAAACAAATAGCCCAATCCTATGGCTAATATTGAGAAGAATGGGCATCCCAGAACACTTAATTATGCTCAAGCAAAACCCATATATAGGCCAAGAAGCTGTTGTCCAAAACACGAAATCACTGCCTAGTTTAAAATTAGGAAAGATGTGTGTCAGTGCTATATCCCTTCTGCATACCTATTCAATCTGTATACTGAGTAAATAATTTGAGAAGCTAGACTATGAAGAGAATTGTGGCATCAAGATTGGAAGAAGACTCAATGAAAACCTGCCCTATAGAGATGACACACTTTGATTGCTGATGTGGGGATCAAACATCACCATCTTCAGTGTGGATTACATCTTAACAGCAAGAAAATAAAAATACTCATCTATGAACCAACTAACAAAATCATGATTGTTGTTATTCTTGTTATGTGCCATTGAGTCACCTGCAAAGCACAGTGACCCCTGTGTACTGTAGCTCTGAAGCCTGCCCTGTTCTGAGCCAGTCTCACTGATTCCGACACACCAACCCTCATTGTCCCAGTTACTGTATCAATCCATCTTATCCAGGATCTTCCTCTCCTGTGCAGTCCCTCCACCCTTCAAAGCATGATGTCCTTCTCCAAGGATCGGTTCCACCTAGCCATGTGTCCAAACTTTGTAATACAGACATTCAAAATGGGGGTAGGGGGTGGGGTTTGGGGAGGTGCGGGGGGGGGGATTGTGTACCAATGAGGGAGTTTTTCTTTTGCTTTTCAAGGAGAGGAGCAAATGGGGGAAGAGGGGGGAGGGGTTTGTGCGGGGAGAAGGGTACAACAATGAATGAATGGAATCCCAAAATCTCTGTAGATGTTCATTGAAATGAAAAAAAAAAAGTCATTTGGGATTTTGATAAGGGTTGTGTGTTGAATATGTATATCAGTTTGGGGAGTATTTCCATTTTAACAGTATCAAATATTCCAAGCCAAAAATAAAGGAAGTGGGTTTAAAAAAAAAATCCTAGCATCCAAGGATGCACTTGGTTGCACACTCTTTAAAATATATATACTTGTTTTCTTAGCAGTCTATGGTATGTTCAAGTTTCTTCTCCAGCATCACAACTTAAAGGGACTGATTCTTCTTCTGTCATTCTTAGTCATTGTCCAGTTCTCTGATGCACAACAAGTAATTGCAAA